GATAAGTTAATAGTAGTTGCATACATTAACATAATACAGTTAGGGTGGGAAACGCCCATTTTAAGTCCATTTATGCAGTCTTGAAAATTGGTGCGGAATAGTTTTATTAGTCAACGAAGACGCACATTTTTCGCGGTTTCTAAATTTGCCGTTATATGAAAGTAGGAGACGTGAAATAATTGTTTAGATATAGTGCATAAGTATTTTAGTTAATTGCCTTATGTGAAAAAAGTGTTTAACATATCCTGGGAAATCCTTTTGAAGACTCTCCAATTGGACGATAGTGCTTCGCATTCAGCTTGAACGAAAAAAGGCGCTCCCTGGAACACTTTTCTCTGTAATCCGGCTCTTTTATCTAAACGTTTTTTATACAATTGAAGATACATTTTTTTTTAGAAAAAAAAACTGGAGATCCACTTAAGTTTTACGATATAAATTTGGTAAATGTTACTCGATCGGCACGTAGTAAGTACCAAATTGAAGGAGAGACTTACTGTTACTGATTTATAGTAATAATATTATAAAAATAGTTCAGATTATAAACAAATTGTTTTAAATTAAAAAACGTGTTGAACATTTTTTTTTGTAATTTTCCTTTATTTGCAATTTTTATATTGTGCATAAACATAAGTAAACTAATTAGTGTTTCTAGAAGTTGTGCCTACTCAGTGTTTCCATACTCACTTGCATAAACCAAAATTTTCCACGATGATGCAAAATAATGGCTTTTCTATTAGAGCTGCCGAAATTATTCCTAAATTTGCAAAAATTCGCAAACTATAGCTAATATTAAAACAAGATTAGAATATTTGCAACCAGCGACCTAAATGAACGGCAGCAATATTAATGCTGTTCTTTACATCTTTTGACTATAGGCCAGTGCAATTATCAAAAGAACAATTAAAAATGTATTGAAAAAAGATAACTTTGCGATTAACGACAAGCTAAAGGGCTGCGAAAAATTATATTTGACTTTATCTTTTGCATTAACTGATTCATTATTTAATAATATGCACCAAACCTTTTTGCTGAACCCAGAATTTTCAACAAGAATTGGTCTTATTCGACTAGTGTGCTGTGGGTGACTTGGCGGTCGATGCGCGGGCTCTTAACATTAAAATAAAATACTAATATTTTACAGGCTTCTTGTTGACTTCCTGATACATTATATTTTCACTATTACCAAGGGATTTGAGTAAAATTAGATTTTCGACCCGCCCTAGTATTCACGTCGACGGTGAATAACCCGAAAATCCTCGAAGTTACCTTCGACAGTCTGTTGTCCATCTTGGCGCATACAACCGCAGTTGTCAATAGGGTACAAAGCCGCAACAAGGTCTTCAACTCGCTAGTCGGCAGCACCTGGGGCCAAGAAAAAGAAACGTTGTTGGCAACGTACAAGGCGAATGACCCGCCAGTCCTAAAGTATGCAGCGTCTGTGTGGTCGCCGGGGACTAGTAGGACGCAGGGGTTGAATCTAAACACTTTCCAAAATACGGCACTCCGGACAGCGACCGGATGCCTACTGATGTCGCCGCAACATCATCTGCACGACGAGGCTTAAATGCTAATGGGCATGACACAATGCTCTGCAAGCAGTTCTTAGTAAGGTGTCACCGATTTCGGCACCCGAACAGACTCTTACTTGAGGAGCAGCCGTCGCCACGGCACGTCAGAAGGTATCTGTATGAAGTGACAGACGAAGTGCGAAGGTTCATTCGGCAAGATATGGACTTAACAGTATACCGACAAGGCATAAACTACATTCACAGGGATTCAGGGTCGGAAAACACTGACTCTCGAACACAACCACCAGACGTAGACGAGACAGAGCTTACTCGGCCCTGGGAGACTCTGGCCATAATATCCCAACTTCGCTCTGGCTACTGCAGCAGGTTAAACTGGTAACTGAGCAGATTAGATGCAGATGCGCCCAACGAGTGCCCGACATGCGGAGAGACACCCCACTACTCGAGACATCTTTTCGATTGTCCACTAAACCCCACTCAACTAGCGCCTCTGTCGCTATGGAGAAACTGTATAGAAGGGGCACGCTTCCTGTGTCTCCAGTTAGTTGAGCTTGACGACAACGATTGAGGGACTAGCCGATCTAGGCTGCAATAACAACAGCAGCACTAAGAGCCACTGATGCCCTTTCCACTCTCTCGTTAATGTTAATGTGGTTTGAGCTCAGTATCACGATCAATTCTCACCCCATCGGCCTGGATCATTCTTATGGGGGTTGGCAGCAATAATTTTATGCTGCTAGCACGAAGAAGACGAAATGGTAAAAATGAACTCTCCAAATGGGGAAAAGTGAACCAAATAATATTCGCTCAAATAAATGTACACACATATCAATGCTGCCAAACCAAATCTTCTGCCAAATTGTCAGTGGAAGGTCGGTGTTATGCAGAAATTTTGTTTGGCAAACTGCGTGCAATTGTTGTTGCAGCAAACTCGGAGAGAGCGAGTTTGGCGACTCTCACAGCAAACTAATTTTGTTTGGTCAAACTGGAGCAAATTCGGCGTTGTCATATACAAAAATTTTATACAATTGTTGCTATACACAAAATTCTCATTTCGTGTTGGCAATAGCCATGAAAACCATAATGAACGTGCAACCCTGTGCCAAACTCGACATAATCAGCTCAGAGCAAACTAAGCAGCCGCCATTTAATTTGGCAAACAAAAATTTGTCTGCATAACACCGACCGAATAAAACAAACTGAGCGGATCATAAATTGATGCAGATCTCTTGAAGGATCATATCGTTTTTTGTTGGATTTCCGTGAAAATTTTTTACACGTATCCCAACGCGTTTGTCCACCACTGTCAACGGCACAAAGAGTTGACAACCATGTTAAGAACAGCTGATTCATGGGGCTATCGGCAGATAGAGATGTCAGTGGCAAAAATTCATCAATATTTGTATTCACTTCGATGCGCCCAAAAGTTCTCAAAGCATTGTCAATGAAAATAAAACATACCATTTTCAGACTTAACGTAAGTAACGTACATTTTTTTCTGCATTTTACAACTTCAATTTCGATTTTTACTCTTTATTACCGCCAAACAATATTGTACATCGCATTTATATGCTGCAAAAATTTTACCTAGCCCAAGAGCTAATAAGTAAAATTCTAACGTTCGTATTCACTATGAGAAATGTCAAATTTTCAGTTTTATCCATCAAAATTTCCTATTTTCTATCATTTGGCACAGGCCCTTTAGTAAGTTTTATATATTATTGTTTAGGCGCGACTGCTAACACCGGGCGCATAAATGCATGCTATGTACTGATACATATGCAAAAATTTTCTTTGAGGAATTTATGAAATTTTTGCATATGCACTTCCCAACTGCCATTTAATAAAACTTTCTTAACTTTAATTTCACGGCACTTCAAAGTATGCTGATGCATCCTCCGGACAGTGTTCCGGAGTTTCTTGTGGACTCTGCATGACTTATATATAGCCCAGTTATGCATACTTAGCTTTGCATGAGAGTTGTCACAAATAGCACTTAACATGTAGAATTCTGTTGGGTTTTGATTTTTACGTAAAAATGGTATAGCAATGCAAATATGCATAACTGTAAATTATGTTACAATACGTTTAAGCAAAAAGAGCAATGCAATTGTAATCTCGATGGCAGTAAGAAAAAATTCAAAAATACGATAACATTTGCATGAATATATAAAAGTTTGTACAGCATTTTGTTATTTAATTTTTTCGCAGCTGGTTATGTATGTACGAGTATACGGACCATTTATGGATCGATCAGAAAATTTCGATGCATCAAAGCAAAACATCGATGTTTTCTATGCATCATGTTTTTTCGACACCTACTTGCCGATTGTTTACTTTTCACTACGAACAAAAGCACAATTGCGGTAGCAATATTCTTGTCAACAAATATGGGAAAAGTAACCAAGCCTAAAGCAACGGCAGATGAGTTACCTTCAAACGTAGATAATGAGCTGAAAACTACTGAAAGTAAGCGCTCAAAAGTGCCAGAGAAATGGAAACAAAATGTACGAAAACATCTTAGGCAATCGGGACAAGAGTACGTTAGCGTTACTGGAAAATTAGTGAACAAGCGTAAAGTACATCCAGGTTGTGGAACTACTTGCCATCTTAATTGTAATGCAAATATAAATTCAGAGCAGCGACTAGAAATACATAACATGTTTTGGAAGTTAACTGATGAGCAGAAAAACTTTTTTTATTGGAAGTATACATCACGAATATTGCCAAAGCGGCGGCGTGCTACGTCTACCGAAGAAACCCGTCGTGGATACACTTTCAAATATAGATTTGAATTAAAGGGTGAACTGCAATATGTTTGCAGCAAATTCTTTTTTGCAACTTTGGATATATCGCCGCGTCGTATTTACTATTTTTATGAACACTGCTACGATGAAGAAATATGTATGCCACGAACAGATACAACACAAGGGAAGGGGAGACAACGTATGCCACAACTGGCACAGCGTTTGGATGAAATAAGAGATCATATAAAAACGTTTCCCACAGAGTGTAAGGATGGCTCTAACAAGCTGTACTTGCCGGTTGGCATGAGTTTGTGTAAAATGTACAATATGTATGCAGAAAAAGTAAAAGAACCGCTAAAGCAACACTGGTACAATAAAGTATTCCAGCAGGAGTTCAATCTGGAATTCATAATATCTGCTAAAAAAACAAGTCCTGAGGACCCCCTATACGCTTACTGATATAAAGAAAGAATCAGATGGCCTAGGCAGTAAGTTTTATAATTCACGAGATGAGTGCTGTAACTAATGCGCTCAAAGAATATAATAGCGATAATTAAAAAAAAACTATATTTTAAGCCATCGAAATCTCACACCTTCGCGTAAATTTAATCGTCTATTACCTATATTGATATAATATAAATAGCAATAATAATACGTACATATACTTCTATAAATAAAGACGGCTAACTGCAAAAAAATTTGCTTATAAAAAAAGCAGTAATACATAATTAAAATATTTTATTTATTTATTTTACTTAAAAATGTTCCTATTTTCGAGTATTTGTAATATTTTGTCTAACTTATCATTTTGATCCGCTAAGGCGTTATCCAAATGTGCCGTAATCTTATGCTCTAATTGATCGAACTTATTATCTATGTGAGTCTTAAGTACAGGATCCAAAAGAGGTAAATGGGCTGGGTTCGGCGAATTTCTCTCATTTTTGTTTGAGTAACCTTCCCCGCTTTTGGCGGGCTGCACCTTACCATCGAGCGCTGTTTTCATTTGCTCCAAAAGCGCTAAAGATGATTGTCCACCTCCAGCAACCCCCTTCATTTGATTCGCTGCTTTCATAAATAACATGCATTTTTCTGCGCTTGGTGATATTTTCTGGCTACTCAGCATTTTTTGAACATTATGAAAATTAATGTCGACTCCAGTCGTTATACCATTAGGGTTAGGTGCAATTTGTAATAAAAAACCGAATATGCAGATTTCGTCAGATGATGTCAACAACTGTGGAAATATTATTATTCTGCGGTCGATTATTTAAAATATTACTATGTATACCTTAAGTGTGCACTCTGTTATGCCTGACTTTTGCACCTCAATGTCGTAACGATACGAGAACACATCGCCATTTTCGTCATCCTCTGCTGTTTCGCCATACAAAGTTTCCGTATATTCTTTTAGTGGTCCGAGAAAGAGTTCCAATTTTGGGGCGGTGCATACTGTAGTTATGGATTCAATTTTATAGATTGGAGTCTTCAATTGTAATTGTAGTTCGCATGGATTATTGGTGTCATCTCTTTTTAAGAGAACCGCGTTTTGCTTTCCTATAACCTGTTCCAACTCTGGCCTATAGGAAGACGATTGGTCAACAATTTTACTTCAAGTAAACATTTTCTTACTTTATAAAAATGTCCTCGTGTGTGATTTTCGTTTGGACGCTCTGTGAAAACTCGCAACCCCCAATACGTTCCCAGTTGCAAACTACCTGTACACTTGCTGCTGATTCCATGATATCCTTTGTTCAAAAGTTAAACCAATTCCACTTTGTTTTGTTGTGTAAATAAACAAAAAAATCCATTCGATAAAAGTGGTTGCCAAATTTACATATTAGCTGAAATGGATTATTCAACAAGATAAATATATATTAATGTAATGAACCATTTTACTTGAAACTTGAGAAACTTGGAACAATTCAAATATATTTTGGGAAATAATTCAATTCGTTAGCATTTAACTTTCAAAATCTTAAATTCTGTATAAATAAATTCCATGTTCACAATTCCTGCAGCAACAGTTTTGCTTGCCTTCAAAATCAGCTGACCCGCTGAATTCAGCGTTCATTTGACGGTGCTGTTGCGCAATATGGCAATGCGGTTTGTTTGCTTTAATAAATTGGGAAATGGATATACGCGACAATTTAGCTCTTCGGTAGGGTTTTCTGATGTTTACTTACCATGGCACCGGTCATATCCAGCACAAACTCCCAAAAATGTGCGACAGTCACATGAACAAAGTAAAAATACTGGAAAGTATAAAATAATAATGGTCCGACATGGTGAATCAGAATGGAATAAGAAAAATCAATTCTGTGGTTGGTATGACGCGGGACTGAGTGAAAAGGGATTGAAGGAGGCAATATCAGCTTCAAATGCATTAAAAGAATGTGGTTACAAATTTGACGTTGCCCATACTTCTGTTCTCCGCCGAGCTATACATACGTTGGACATAATTTTAAAGGAAATCGGTCAAACGGATATACCAGTTTGCAAAACATGGCGACTGAATGAACGCCATTATGGTGGTCTCACAGGCTTGAATAAAGCGGAAACTGCTGCTAAATATGGCGAAAAACAGGTGAAAATATGGCGCAGAAGTTTTTCAACACCGCCTCCACCAATGGAAAATGATCATCCATATTACGACGTGATCGTGAAAGACCCCCGTTATGCGGATGGTCCGTCAAAAGGGGAGTTTCCGATGTTTGAATCACTTAAGCTAACAATAGAACGAACTTTGCCTTACTGGAATGAGACCATCGTACCGCAAATAAAAGAAGGAAAATTTATTATTATTTCAGCGCACGGTAATAGTCTGCGTGGTATAGTCAAGCATTTGGATAGTAAGTAGAATAAAATCATTTATCAAGCAAGATAAAAAACCTTATAATGTACATTTCTAGATTTATCGGAAGATCAGATTATGGCATTAAATTTACCTACTGGAATTCCATTTATATACGAATTGGATGAATGTCTTAAGCCAGTAGTTTCAATGAAATTTCTAGGGGATGAGGAGACCGTGCGGAAAGCAATGGAAGCAGTTGCTGCTCAAGGAAGGGCCAAATAGAAACTAGGATTCAATAACTTTGTGGGGAGAAACTAGAAAAATTCTATAACAAAATCAAACTGACCAGCAAAATATAAAAAAATGTGTATAAGTTCCTAATAAAAAACGCCAAAACACAGGCAGGGCTCAAATCGTAACAGTCATGAACGAGTGACTCCAAAGTAATAACCCACTACAGTCGTTTGTTTACGTGACGACTTGCTTGTTCACGACTGTTACGATTCGAGCACTGTTTTTATTTAAGAATGTATGTTGTTGTTGTTGTAACAGCATACAGATTCCCCAGAGTTTTTGGGGAATGTTGCTGGAGTGACAGTCCTTGGCCAGATATAAATCTGGGTCGTTCCGGTTACGTAGACCCGACTATCGTGGGAATGTATCTAATTGTATGCTGTAATAGATATTTTTAAAATCCCGTAGGAGGTTATTGAGTTATCTGCATACCAGACAGGACTTTAAAAGAAAATAAGAAAATTAGTTAGGGGCTTTCTCTATTAAGGCTACGATATATACATATCGCACGTTTAATAATTTATCGAACTATTTCAAATTTTAAATTTTGTGGGAAAGGCAATCAAAGTTTTATCAATTCATACTGTTGGTGTACAAAAAGACAGATGGAAGGACACATATCTTCGCCATATTTTGGAAGTTTGGTTATCTGCTAGACTGAACATATTCTACTTATCAAGCTTATTAATTGCATAATGAAATCTCCAAAAACGTTAATTTTGAGTTACGTTGTTCGCTGCACCGTGGATATGGATCACGATCCATCAATACTGCGTGCTACACCGTCAATAAATATCGCGATACTTGGAACACGTCAATAAATACTGACCGTGCCACAGTGCCCATTAAAAGGTCTATTCTGCGCTGGCAATAAAAAGTTTGTAACCGGTAAATAAAGTTCCTGCCAATTTTTAAACTCTGGTTCATATATATTAAGAAAGCTTATTCCAAAAATATTTTCTTGCCATTAACTTTTTTAACCGCCAAACATTTTAATGGAAGTTCACGAATGATAGAATCGTGATGGACGTTGTAAAAAAAAACAAATCTACCAAATACAACTCTGCGAATCGTACTGGCGGAATTGCTGTGTATCAGAAATTTTAGCTGTCATTTCCTTCAAATGACCTTGTGCTGTCATTTATAGGTCAAATAAAATTTTCCTTTCGGCATAACAATCCAGTTGGAATTTTTTTAATTTGGCTTGGTCAGTTCCGGTTGAACTTTATTATTACTTAAAATGTCCGGAAAATATAGAATTGTTATGGTTCGCCATGGTGAATCCGAGTGGAATCAAAAGAACCAGTTTTGCGGATGGTTTGATTCTGCTTTAAGTGATAAAGGAAAATCTGAAGCTGCAGCTGCTGGAAAGGCTGTTAAAGATGCTGGTTTAAAGTTCGATATTGCTCATACATCAGTGCTTACCCGAGCAATTATTACTTTGGAGACTATTCTCCAAGAGAGTGGACAGTCGGCTATTCCAGTTTCCAAGTCATGGCGTTTGAATGAACGTCACTACGGAGGACTCACGGGGTTGAACAAAGCCGAGACTGCCGCCAAATACGGTGAGGATCAAGTTAAAATCTGGCGCCGCAGCTTTGACACTCCCCCACCACCAATGGAACCCGATCATCCATACTATGACGTAATTGTTAAGGACCCACGTTATGCCAATGGCCCGTCTCAAGAAGAATTCCCTAAATTCGAATCACTTAAATTGACTATTCAACGCACATTACCGTATTGGAATGATGTTATAATTCCACAGCTTAAGGAAGGCAAGCAAATCATCATTGCTGCTCATGGCAATAGTTTACGCGGTATCGTTAAGCATTTGGATAGTGAGTAATATTAGAAATACCAGAAGAAAAAAGTTTAAAACAAAAATGTTTCATTACAGATCTCTCAGAAGATGAAATTATGGCTTTGAATCTGCCTACCGGCATTCCATTCGTCTATGAATTGGATGAGAACTTCAAACCTGTTGTCTCTATGAAATTCCTTGGTGACGAGGAAACCGTACGAAAGGCCATTGAAGCTGTTGCGGCACAAGGCAAAGCTAAATAAAGATGCACACGGCTCTCTAATATATTCATATTCATAGGCAACATAAGACATTAGTAAACTAAATAGAAATTTGGGAGATCCAAAATTTCTTTAAGCAAATATAACTGCTAGCCACATAGAATATTAAAGTTGTTCGTATACTACGAATATTACTGTTGTGGCAAATTGTTGTTTAAATTATTAACGGTCAATAAATTATTGTTAAACATCAGTTTCGTTTTTTATTTTGACGCAGTTACTTTCAAGCTTTAATTTAATTCATGATTACCGTTGCTTAGCTTTTTTGACAATAAATTTTGTAACAAATCATAATACAAATATTTTATTTTTTGTACATGTAACAAATGCATTTGAGCGGTCAGTTTATTTTTTCTTATGTTTCTTTCCATCCTTAGCTAACTCTAATCCTAATATACATTTCGGTGGAACTTTATAAGTTTCGGTCAATAAATTGTAAACAAATCGCACCTGGTTGCCTTGTATTTGTAGCTGTTCGGCTTTTTGATGTGGTAGTTTTACCACAGTGGTGCTTGCCGCAGCACCTTGTTTACATAACTTTATAAATTCGGGTACAATAATTCCATAGCATTCGACGTTGCTGATGAGAGTTACCTTTTTATTACCAGAACGAGTAGCAAGGGACATTTGAATCAGAGGCTTATTAGCTGCTACGCTTTTCAGTTCGCACATTTGGAAGCTGTACTCCATTTTTCTGGTAAGTGTGCCACATATTTGACTAACGGATGCTGTCTTGACATCGCATATCCTTTCGAGGGTTTCATCTAATTGGATTGTACCGCCGGAAGGATCCGCTTTGGGAAGATTGTGCTTGCTTATATATTCGCGAACGATTTTTTTTATTTGTGCAGTTGGTATAGCTTCGCCTCGCTTGTAATTCACTTTCGCAAAGAAAGGCGCCGTCGCATCCGTAATTATATAAGTTTCCGTCAACTCAGAACGGAACAACGGCTGATCTTGCAATTCACCGTCCATTGGTTGCTTAGGTGGTTTGAAATCTGTAATAAAATTAACTAGTTCTGGATGATCAAGGTCAATGGCAGTTATTTTATCTACGCCTTTCGACTCCTCGCGCACGACTATGAAGCCCTCATCAATCATTTCGTTCAGGAAATTCGAGAGCTTCTTGTATTTTGTCTTCTTTAAGTCAATGGGTTGAGGCGCCTCGGGCACAACATACAAGCGGTAGAAATTGCTTGTTAAAAGTGGCAATTGTAAAGTTTTCCCATGATTCTTCAGCGCCGCCAGAAAGGCGTTTTTTAGTATAATTTCAGGTGTTGTTGCGGAACCTTCTTCGGAGATATCTTTGGTAGTACTTTCGCGATTTTTAACATCTTCTGTAACATCATTTTCGGAAATTTTAAGATTCTGCACATCAGGAAGTTTTGTGCCCGCATCTGGCGTTTCTGATAAATTGGTTGCCGCTACAATATCAGCCAACGTCAACTTTTCGCTTACCTGCTTTTGCTTATCTTCCTTAGCACCAAGTTCTGGGAAGTCATCAGTGGTTAGTGGCGTTGCCTTTTTTAAGGGTACTTGCTGTACTAATGTAGGCTCATGTCCCCATAGTTTGTCACCGAATATGTGTAGCATTTTCACAGCAACGCCCTGACGACCACACATATACAAATCATCAGAGGACCGAGGTAAATAGCCAACAGCTACTGCAGATTCATTTGACACCAAATTTACGGCCATTAACTGACCTTGACGATATCGGCCATACATATTCATACCAGTGCCTTTCGGCACTACGCCCGGCAGCATTAGATCAGCACCATTAGAAAGTTTTGGCAATACATCACGAAAAGTGGTAAAGTAGGGCAACAATGTAGACACAAGCCACAAGGCGTATAAAGTTGGAGCCAACTCCCCTGACTCCAGTTCGAAGAACATGGGCAACTTGTCCACACAGAAGACGTTGATTTGCACGCCGCCATGTGTTGTCAGTTTCAATTGAGTCACAGCGCTCTTTGGAGGAATAAGAATACTGATCTCCTCGGATGTTGAATCCGGAAATGTACTTTCTACACGTTGTCGTAAACGCTTCGATTCAGAGCCCTTTAATGGAGCATTACTCCGAAGTTTATATGGTTTAAGAAACATCCCGGTGAATCAACATAGACGTGCCAAGTCGCGACAGCAATAACAATGTATCGATAACAGAAGAGCTAGCAGACTTATCGAATAAACACAATCCGAGGGTGGCAAGTTTTTGTATTGGTTTAAAATGTATGATTATTTATTTAATAATATGAATTGTTTGAAAATTCAATTGGCAATCGGGTAAGAGTGTTTTTACTTACTGTCGTCCGTCCGTCCGTGTACACGATAACTCGAGCAAAAATTTAGATATATAGGTTGCCCTTTATCCAAGGTAGGTTGGTATTGAAAATGGGCGAAATCGGTCTGTAACCACACCCACTTCCCATATAACGGTATTTTCGAAAAATGCAAATACTACGATATTTCAGTAAATATTAGATGAAAATTGTTGAAAGTTGGTAAGTGAAGTAGAATTGTGGTAAAAAAACATTATAAATTTTTGACGTGACTCCGACCACTTCTGATAAAATGCTGTATCTCAGTAGCCGCTTCACCAATCCTTACCAAACTCGGTACGATCCTTGGGTAGGAAAAAAATTGATTGTTGAAAATCTTTGAAATCGAGCAATAACTACGCCCATCTACAATACAACGGTAATTTACAGAAACACAAAAAACTGTGATAAATCAGTAACTACTAAGGCTAATTCACTTAAAATCGATGATTGCAATAACCACTTAGCAGAAAATTATAATATAAACTTTTGGATCATGGGCGTGGCGCCGCCTACTTATGACCACAAATGTGTATCCCGGTAACCGATTTATCAATTTCTACCAAACTCGGTGTCCTTAATAACCTTGGTACGGTAAACGAATTTGGTGAAAATTATTCAAATCAGACTAAAATTACACCCTCTTCCCGCATAACGGTAAACTTTAACAGGCAGTCTAGGAAACGGGCTCCGTCAGGGCTGCCAACTATATTTAGCTAGGAAGTGACTGCCGTCCCTAAATTGGAGCGCTAAGCGTTGCGTTATCCATTGTCAACGAGTGTCATCGCGCGCTATACCCAAATCAACGCGTCGTCAATTTTGACGTTTTCTCATGTCCTCTCGTTTTTATTCTCGTTTCCTTTTTCACTTCTTTGTCCGTTCTCTTTCTCTTCGTCTTCTGCATCCAACTTCAGCACGTAACGCCCTGTCAAAAATGAAAATTCCATTTGCTCGGCGTTAGCGCCGCGTTATTGTGGGATGCTTCATACAAATTGTATGGGCATGGTAGGATTTTTGACAGTTGCTTGGCGCTTGACGCGCCAATTTAGGGATGGCAGTGAATGATAAAAAGATGCCAAAATGTGCCAAACAAAAAAATAAAAGTGCCAAAAAAGGTGTCATTCTTTTTAATTCTTCCTATTTCGCATTAAAATTGGAAACATATTCCTAAAACAAAAGTCCAATGCCAAAGTAAGATAAAACAGTTGTATAAACTATAGAAATTGGAATATTTTAGTTTAAAATGAAGTATACGCAAAGGATTTGATTGAATTGAAAAATCAAGTGTCATTTGAAGTAAAAAAGGGCCAAAAATGGCACGGTTTGAGCGAAATTGGCAGCCCTGACGGGGTTACCATATTTTAGAATGAAATATTTTCCATACTTAGGCTATCTGCACACTTGCCATCCAATCGTACTACGTTATCGTCTTGCCCTGAAATGTTGTGCCGAGCACAAGCATTTCAGTGGAAGTCTGCACACTTGTCGTTATGAGCTAGTTATCGGCAAATCGTAGAAGATGCAGAAATGGATGAGTACGTTTATACGCACGCATTATTTGCAAATAACAATTTGCAAAATGGTAAACTTTGCGGTATAAACGCCGAGTTAATTTTTTATTTGAAAATAACTAAATCACGCAAATAAGTATTGATAAGTATTTGCAAATAAGCGCAAGACGCTGCCATTCTTAGGTTAATTTTCCTTTTCCATTTTTGCCTTTTTATAATCAGGCAATATTAAAAAATAATTTTTCACCATCGAATAAACAGTGAGTTGGGTTTTTGCAAATTATTTTTATTTGCAAATAGCTTACCTATAAACGTAGTATATGATTGGATTACCAATTGGATCAAAATCTTAAACTGATCTAAGCTAAGATTTTTCTCAACTGTATCTTCATTTAGGTTGGTGCAACCGGCCTTTACTGTATTGAATCGGGATCGGTTACCGAAGAGGAAGTATTGGGTACTGAATTTTTGTTTAGTATTGGGTACCAACAATTCCGCACATCGCTATTAAACACATGTTTCTTGTTTTTTTTTTTAGGGGAGTTGTGCGGCCAATATTTACAAAAAAAAAACATTTATTTTGTATTGCTGATAGCAAAATTTTAAAATACAGTCATAAGAACGGTTATAAATTACAGAAATCAACTGGAGATAAAAGGATAAGGATTTAATAAGTAAATCTATACACTCGTACATTTACTAGATTAGGTGAGCAAAAAAGTTGATAAATTCTTAACATAGAAAATTTTGGCTTAAATTTTCGTTAATTTTACGTAGTACGGGCATTGACAGTGTGTAGATTTTGAAAAATATATTAACTACCGTTCATATGTACATACATGTATATAGCTACATACATATGTGTGTATATTTTGCTAAGGGCCAGTTTTTCAGTGCTCGGTTAAATCTGACTTGAGAAGGCATTATTCTGGTTGTTTGTTGCTACTACATACATATGTACATATAGGCTGCATTTCCTTATACATTCCAGATATTCCCATTTCACAGACAGAATAAACAGAATGCGTTTGAAATATATACATATTAACATATCATCAGGAACGTTCTAAAGAATAAGTAAACAAAAAAGCTTATTCGAAACGTTCAGAATAAATAAAGACATGCAGCCATAAGTTCAGACATCGAGCAACGACCACAGAATTCAGTGGCATGCTTCTCTCTCCTCCGACTACAGGGCTCCTTAGGTGAGCCTCTTACAAATGGGACAAAAATCGGCGATTTTGCTTACAAAATGCCAAATATTTAAAGTCCACCAAAAAAATAGGACGTTTTTGCTCCCATCAAAAATAATCCTCATCGGTCACACTCCGGCCGCGTTGACCACAGTAGTTACCACCTTTCCACGTTGGCCGTGCTTCCATTGGAAAGCTAGGCTCCTCCACTTCTCAAATATACCCACTTTTAGGAATAAGAATCAAAAATTTTGTACGCACAGGTATGATAGACATTTTATTTTGTTATATTATATATTGTTTGTAAATGAATTATATTTTATAAATCATATGTTTTGAGTCATATGCTTTTTTAACACTTCATGCCAAGGTACATTGAACAGGTAGTATCAGTAGAGCAGCTGATTTGATTTATTTTCAAATTATTTGGTCTCGAAAATGTCAAATATTTTTAATTTTTTCTCACAAAAATTCTGAATTGTTAAAATCCATTTGCATGTGAAACCTTTTGCATACAAAACAAGCGATTGAATAGCAGCTTTTGGAACGTTCGCCCAACTCGGCAGCACGACCGCTGATTACTGGGCCTTGCAAAGGATGGATCAATGCTTCGAGAAGCAAACAAATTTACTAGGAAAGAAAGTTGCATCAATTTTTATTTTTTATAATTTTTTGTATTTCACATGGCACGCTTTGATTTAGAAGAAAAAATTCAGAACAGTTTTTGACACTTTCGATACCAGAAGCAACAACAAAATACACGCAAATGTTGTTTTTGCTCTACTGATACTACCTGTTTAACGTGCCTTGCTTCATGCCAATAAATCGTAGCGAATTCGACAGAAGCAATATTTTCATATGAAACAAAATGGCTTTCAAAGCTAATGCAATTGCCTTTCAAGGAAAAATATTACCATTAAGCCACAATCACTCCTTGACCTTAAAAAAATTGGTCAAAAATAGTGTTCTTCGAAAAAACATGCAAAGTCCAACGGATATGTAAACAAAAAACATTTTTTCTATTAGTAGTATTTTTTGTTAGTAGTATATTATACAAATATTATAGATTTTGAGACGAGAAACACGATTCCACTGTTTAAAAACCGAAAAAAATTTCAGCCCCTCATTTTGAAAAATGCATTTATATTGAATTTTTTAATGATTTGCATGCAGCTGTGCATCCTTCATACAATTTTACATCCCTCGAACAACAAGGCAGTTTTAGTGCTATTCAAGACCTTTAATTTAAGTCAAGGTAGAAGTCTCTAGGCCCTTTGGGAGCTAAATTATTACTATTCTGCTGTTAACCTTCAAAATTTCATTCGACATTACACGCAATTTCTTATAGTTTTAAGGATATTTAGTGTTAAAATATTTTTATTTTTATATTTTTTTAAATTTTAGTATTTTATCAACTATGTACATAACCGGTTAAACAAAAAAATTATGTCAAAATAAAGATAATTAATTTATGATTTATTTTGGAAAGACTTTCCGTCATCCCTTGTCAAGTTTGGTTTGCAGACAAACGGGTTTCGGCATTGTGCCATCTTCAGTGTCATTTTTCGTTCTGTCTGGTTCGAGTTTTTTAATTTGGTCGTAAATTAAATTATATCCCGGGATCCTAACGGCTTGATGCCGAGATTTCGGGACTCAAAAAAGGGCTCGGGACTTCCGGGATTCGGGATCCCGAACCCCGGTACTAGATGCCTTACATTTCAGGGACTATTTTTTATATATACAGGGGAAACCTGAAAGTTAGGGGGTGTGGGGCCTCGAGCTCCTGCCCCTACCTGGCTCCGCTCATGTTACTCCGTATTAAAGGCATTCATATTTCCCGTTAAATGGCATCAACATGAAATCCGTGCTTTTGTTTTCGAGATATTTGGAATTTAAAAAATCTGCATTTGACCTTTGACCCTTGATAACAGCTCTAGTTTTTGTTTGGCATCAAAAAAAATTTACAGTAATACTTCCTTCAAAAACCTTTATTGACGTCCCTGGTCAAAATTTGTTGCGCCGGTTATCGTAATCGTGCCACCCGTACTAAGCAGAATTCTCCTTTCTGTTCTGCGTGAGAACAGGGGCGAAGCATATGAATATTCAAGATGGCGTGAGGTAATACCATATTATTATTGCACAGAACTTCTTTCTGCGTAGGCGGCTTTCGTTTT